TTCTGTGAAGAAGAGAACAATAGCTGATTCAGTGATTTGCATTAATACACCCAATTCAGTGATTAGCATTAATACACTCAATTCAGTGATTAGCATTAATACACCCAATTCAGTGATTAGCATTAATACCAAATTAAGTGATTAGTATTAATACCCAATTCAGTGGTTAAAAACAATACTTAATTCAGCGACTAGTGTTAATATTCAGAGCTGAGTAGAGATTATTCTGACCTGCACATGTGATAAGGTTTCTGTTTTACTCTCTCTCTCTGTAATTCGTCTGATATGTTCATCTCCTGAGACGGTCAAGTAATCATAGCAGCCATCTGGAACATAGACTGCAGATGCGTGCCGCCAAAAATGAGCAACTGCGAAGCAACTAAAACAGTGCAAGCATGACTGTGCTAACAAAACACAGCAGGAGAGGGAGACCATGTTACCCATAGTGAGAGGCATCCCCCGCAGAATCTTCCACAACACTGCCCTGGCACTCCTCACCAGTGCCCCCTGTGGGCCACCTGGGGAAATGCAGCCATGCCTCTCTCCATCCATGAATTGCTTCTCATTCACATCCAGACACAAGCAAAGAAGGACATCCAAAAAGAGGGAGATCTACCACAGGGAAATGAATGGCAAAGTTAATAAATATATACTCAAAAAAAACTAGACCAGTAAAATTATGAGAAACAACTAATTTAAAATCACAGACAGAAGATAAAAGGAGGGTAGCACAGAAGCCAGACAGAGATGGAGCAGCAAAGACCTGTAAGGAAGGGGCCCCGGAGTCCATGCCCATGTAGGTGCAGCCATCCAGGGGGGAGGACACGTGTGTCTGGAGCAGACGCTCTGAAGCCTGCCTGCAGAAGAACACCGGCCCAGAGACCTGCGGACAGAGGACACCACACAAAGGTGATGTTCCACCTGCTCTGACATAAAGGCCCAGATGGAGCCGAGGGGGAACACTGCTCACACTGTTATGAAGCTTCACTTTTAGATTTACATTTTTATCTCAGAAGGGTTAGAGATGAAGGATGCCGTTTTTAGCAATTATTATTATTTATAATGTTTACTACTGCAGTCACCCACAAGGAGAAAGAGAGAAGTTATGGACTTACCAAAGGGACTTTGCCATCTGTCTGCATGGCTTGGCGGATCCTGTCCTCGGAGCCCCTGTAAATGATGTCACGCACTCTGTCCTGAAGGAGCAGACAGGCTGCAGTGTAAATCCTGGAATTTCATACCGCTTACAGTATCAACACCCATTTAGTACATCAATATACCCGATTTGCAGCACAAACATTAATAACGCTTTATCACTCATGATGTGGGACGAGCCAGGAGCCTGTGTACCTGCCCATCAGTGAGGTAAACCCCATGATTGGTGGCATAGGAGACGCTGCCAGGCAGAGAGACCACTCGAACCCCTGAGAATCCCTCCCAGGAAATGGCTGAGGAAGGAAAAAGACAAAGAGAGCATGTCAGTGGGTCTCTGTGCCCTGATACGTCAGACAGGCAGTGTCAGGAGGGACAGCCTGCACACCTCACCGGGGGCTGTGGGCAGGGTCAGCATAGCGTCCGTGCTGCACACCCACACGCCCGGAGGAGAGCCGGGACAGATCTGTCGTAAGAAGAACAGAGTATGAATGTCCAAGGGCAAAGAGTTCCATGTCAGTGATCCACCAAGGGGGGCAGCATTACATACATACATGACTGCAAGCATGCATACAAACATACATATATATATACATACATACATAATACATACAAATGTACATGCATAGTCTCCCAGTCCTACAGCAACCCTCCAAAAAAACACGATAAAGTAATTAATTGAAATCAATAAATATGGAGTGCATAAGTACCTGCAGTACCTCCTATCTTTTGTAAATAATGAGAAATGTGACACCAAAGATTACAGACTGCACAGCATGGCAGCTCTCCCTGCACGACGTGGTGTGCTAGAGCGCCCCCTTCTGACCTGCTTCGTCAGACAGTCCAGCAGCAGGTCCAAGCAGCAGACAGGCTGCTCCACTTTCGCCTGGCTCTGTGCAGGCAGCCAGCTGAACGCCCGACCGCAGCTGTCCCAGGGGAAATCCCGGCCCTGTACATGGCACCACAAGATGCTATGTCTCCCTCCAATTCAATAATCTGCTTAATTACTCCTTCCATGTTTCAGCTCCACCACTTTTCCCTTCCCTGCCTCCTGTCAACCACTTTTTTCCAGTTCCTCATTAATTTCTCACCGTGTGCAGTATGAGGATGTGGGCATCATCCAGCACATCTGCAGTCACCACCTGGAAAGCATTCCTCAGTTAAGACCACATCCTCGTAATAACGAGAGCTCAACGATGTAGCAGTCTGTCAGTGTCATGCACATGCCCTTTAAAACAATGGCAGAGTCGCTTACAGTATGTCCTGCCCTGGCACTCAGGTGCTCAGTAGCCACAAGCAAAGCATTGAGGGTGGCTCCCCCGCTTCCCAGGCGCTGCTGAGGGTCCGACACTGTAAGCAACAGCGCCTCTTGTGGCAGGTGACCGCATTGCTGTCGTAACTCCAGTTCTGGAAGATTAACGTTTATAAAGAATGATTTTCTTTAAATTGTCAATCGACTAAAAATAAAATTGGAATAAGCTTAGTAACATGCTCAGCCATAGAAAAACAGATGATAATTCTTTGGCTTTTATTATCGAGAGAGCTCTCATTGCCTCTCAGTCACAGAAATTCTTTCTGATATCATGTAACATTAAATAAATAGATACATTTTAAACAATAAATTTTAAAGTCTTAAACACTTTCTAACATGACATCTACTTACCTTTTTGAAAGGCATACACACTGTCCTTTTGCTGGCATGTTAGGACAACAACTGTCCAGTTGAGCGGCTGAAGGTGTGACATGTTTGAATATCCACGGCCTCATAACTGCTCAGTGTCTGATGAGTATGTCACGATGCTGTTTTAGAAGATCCAGTTATAATTTATGGAAGAATTAAAAAAGGAAATGAACATGTGAAACACCATATAAGTGTAGAAGCCTGATCATTTATCACTTGAAATAAACTTTAGTTTTCAGTTGTTTTGTCTCTATAATTTACGCGCAAGAATGTTAGTTTTGTAGGCCTATGTCTGTGACGCTTTTCTGCTTAATTTTGTAATGAGATTCCAGATGAGGGTTACTTATGTAGGAAATACAGGATTAGATCAAAGCTATTTAAGTTTCCATATATGTCGTGTCCTGTTGTTGCTGCTATTTTTGTCTTGCAATGAAATAGGTAGACCGTTGATGACGACCCCGAAGTAATTTGCCGTATTATTATTTTTATCTGACGGTTTGTTCGCGAAGTTGTTTTCGAAGCGTAGGGCAGCGATTGGTCAGTGCGTCAAACTTCACGTCAACTGCCACAACCAGTTAATAACTTAATTCGTCAGGTATCGAGCTAACTCATTAAAATAAACATGAAGTATAATACATCTGTATCCGAAGATTTATCCGACATATTACGCTTCATCATAATCTTAATTACACGTAGATGTAGTTCTTACATGTTTCGAAAATATCTGCTTTTGTTTTCTTACCGTTCATCGCTTTCGAGTAATGACACGGCACTTCCGGACTGCAATCACGAGAGGGGACGTTCTGGGAGTTATGGGTGTTGTAGTGTTATGATAAAGCAGCCTTCATTGGCAATACTACTTCTTTCACTTTGTGTGAGCCTGAGCCACATTTTAACGATTTTATTATAAGTTCTTTTTTAAAGAAATACGCAGTTTAATCTCAGTATATTATGTATATAAGAAAAATACAGAAATGCCAAACCTTTTCCTAGTTACTTCATAAGACCAATACAATGACAGATTTTAGATTTTTGTTCATATTTTAATGAAAGAACAGACAATCTAGAATACATGTTATGTATTAGTTACAAGCCTAATTACCACTTTTAATAAAGATGGTACTCCTTAGAATGGTCAGTTAAGGTGTAAAAATAATTGGGTGAATAATTATATTTTAGATCTCATATAGATGTTTAAAATCATCATATTCGTTGAACCGATAGTAAAAATTAATTGAAATAGTATAATAATTTTTTTCTATATTCATGAAAATGTGTTTATCCATAAGAGCATAGATCAATATGTTTGTGTGTCTGCAAGGCAGACCCCCCTGTTATCTTTGGTTTCTGGATGTGGCCTTTAGTTTCTGGATGACGCCTGCTATCAGGAAGAGACATCTTAAGCTTCACTGCGCCCATGGGAAGTCTCAGAATAACATTACGATAGAACCAATAAAAAGATAAGACTGATAATAAGATAGGATTAGATAGAACCAACGACCCTTGGCTCTACTTTGGGGCAAGGAACTAATGCAGTGGCAGAAATCACAGGATGCAGAGAATCGATGTCCTTCTGGGAGGAAGAACCATGTGCTGCTCTTACAGAGTGAACTTCACATCTGCCTGTGCACGATGCTTGACCTGCAGACTCAGATGGACCTTGTGAAGATCCTCCACAGACAGTTATTGTGACCCTGTCTATTATGGTATAATTCAACTTAGAGAATCAACTGTAACAGTCAGTGACACCATTATGAGGGAGATGTACAACAGAACATTCTGTGAGCAGCTGGGTTTTGGAGTATTTGTCACCTTATTTTTCATGTACAACAGAACATTCTGTGAGCAGCTGGGTTTTGGAGTATTTGTCACCTTATTTTTCATGTACAACAGAACATTCTGTGAGCAGCTGGGTTTTGGAGTATTTGTCACCTTATTTTTCATGTATTACAGAATATTTCTTGTCGCACCAGT